TGGTAAATTGAGCACGGCCCGAACATGGAGTGCTGGGAGCTCGCCCATGAGTTGTGGAGGGAAGCCCCTCGCTGGCTGCTGCTGTCTTCTCCCACACAGCCACTCTCACCTTCTCATCCCCCTCTACTCCATAGCACTAACTGTCATATAAAGCAACACTCCCACCTGTCTCCATACACTCCTTTGATACAAGAAGAAAAAGGGAAGAAGGGCAAGGAAAGCCAAGAAGGCTTGGTTTCAGGCATTTGCTGCAGAGAGGAAAGACGCTTACAAACAGTGGGTATGAAAAGAGCTAAGAAGTAGATATTTGGGATGTGACAGGCCAGACAGGGTAACAGCCTGGGTGGATCTGCCTGGGACACAGCGTGACACAGCACAGACAAGCACTGAGCTCAGTGAAGACAAAATCCTTGGTGTGCAGCAACTCTGTCTCAGCAGCACTGTTAGAAATGCCTCCCTGTTTTCAAGACAAGCATTCCCAGATCTGATCAGACACAGGTCTATGAACTACAGGAGGATTTAGCTATAGCTTTACGAAGGAAATATTAAGCATGGTTTCCTGGGAGAGATGCTGGGCGGTCCACTCAGCCACCAGCTGCCACCCAGGTTCTGGGACATGTGGGAGAGCAGGACCGTGGCTCCCCCAACTTCCAGGACTGTGGTCCTCCACAGGCTCCTCTCAAGCAAAAGCTGCCGGTTGGTCTCTTCCGGACTCCATAAGAGCACACACCTAGCCAGATTTGTTGTCAGAATCGTCTCACTTGCTTTGGCACAAATATTTTTTGCGACAGCTAAAATGTTCTAAAATATTCCAGATAAATACAGGAGATGAGGACTGCTCATGGAGGGAGACAACCTAGCCAGCAGCATGCAACCGGTGGATTAAGCCCAACACACTCTTTCTTTTTATAAATCAGATGTAAAGACACATGGAACAATCTGGCTATGGAAAAAAAAATAGCAAAAATGGGTGATTTTTATGCACTCCTCCCTACCGCTCCTTTACGACAAGGAACCCACGAATAAAACAAATGGCATGTCACGGTTGTATGTTATACCTTGTGGACTAAGGGAGAAAAGAAAGGTGGGGGGTTCTTAGGTTGCTTTTCACTTTTCTTCAAGATCTTTGCAAAACAAAACTGTAAAGCTCTGAACTCAGAATTATGTGCCACAGTAAAAAGAAAATCTCTCAGTCCGATCATTTCCAAGCAGTGAGGTAAGGATAGCTCCCGACGAGAGGTCGCTCAGCAAACATCACCAGGAAGGACAGTGAAATGCCGTAACAGTTCACAGCATAAAGGAACAGTGCAGCAGGAGCAACCAGCATTGCAAGTTCCTCTTGTAATTTTAAAATTTCTCCTAGACAACCGGGATATTACCTTCCTGATGGGGAGTACCCATATAATCCATGGCATTTTAAAGTTATCCTAAATACTCATTTCTCCTGCAATCTCCAGTGTGAAGCAAGTAACATTAAGACTCTGTGAACACCTTTTTCATCATTTCACCAAGAAGAGGTTGCAAACACTGCACATGCCCCTGGGAGAGAGGAGAGCACCGTTCTTCAGCTGCTGGGAAGCATAGGGCACAAGCAGCTACTGGAAAGCAGCAGATCACACTACTTCACACACTACTGTAAAATTACCACCATGCCTATGGGAACTCTTTCACATAAATCACACAAGGCACAGCAAAGCTGCAGGTCCAGTTCTGCAAGCGTTCCCTTGCGCAGAGAGCTGCAACCAGCCCTGCAGGACAGCCCCACTGGCAGAACACCGCTGGAGCACTCCTTGGGTGGATCTTCTCACACAGACCAAAGCCCTGCTTTAAAATATACCTCCTCTTGTACAAATAACCTCCTGGTCAACTGCAAAGGCAGCGCTGCAGGCTCTTGTAGGCACATCCAAACCAAAGAGTGAAATGGAGCAGCCCTTCTTCAGCAGAAGTAAGCTAGCAGGATGCAAACGAAAAAGGGGGATCAAAAATTCAGGTTAAGTATATTATGGGGAGAATTAAGAACCGTTTGCATCAAGAATGCCACTCTTGATGTGCCCAGCACTGGACAACTGGGTTTCCTTCTGACACGTAGCCAGATCTTCCAAGCAAAAAAGCCAGATGATTGCCTTGATCCCTCTAGCAGGGAGAAGCTTAAGGAGAGGCCAAGACCTGAAGACAGGCGACAACAATGCAGCAACATTGTCGGTGTTGCATCCAGCCTTCTGCCAGAGAAAAGCGGCCCAGGACAACAGAAATAGTCTGCTCTTCATTCATTTGGCAATTCACACAAATGCCCACAGGCTCCCTGCAGTTTCACAGGCTAAATGCACACCACCACACTTAACACAGAGTGAAATCACCAAGTTCAAGGTTTAGTAACCCATGAAAACAAGCAGGCAGAGTTACTTGGTTACACGGATGCCATTCGCGGCCATCCACAGACTCCAGAAGAAAGCTTTGGATCGATCCTGCACTGATTACAGCTGGCACCGGTCTGCAGGACGTTCTTCACAGTCATGAAACCTAAGAAAAAAGCCATCTCTTCTCTCCTGATGGCAGCAGGCCTTCCCCAGAGCCTGACAAAAACAAGGTGATTTGGGAAAGGCAGGATAAAAGTACAAGACTACTGATTTGCACTTTTTTTTTCCCTCTTTCAAATTTCTCTCAGTTAAAGATGAAATAAGACCGTCCATTTCACCCAGGTGCTACTTTTCCCTCATGCCCTGAATTTCATGCATTGAGTTTTTTCTGCTGACACAAGCACCAGGTGCTTTAGTGACAGGCGAAAATGCACCTCTGCCCCACAGCACCCGCTGAGAACACAGCTGCTCTCAGCACGGCACACGAATGCCAAGTCACCATCGACTTGTAATCGAATCAACAAGACAAAACAAACAAGTTCAGCTACTAAAAGCTGCCAATTGTTGTGGGCCTAAAAAAAAACCCCCACGCTTTTTTCTTAATTTGCTAAAATGTTTTGCTCTCCTGAATTCTGCAAGGAAACCCACACAATGAGGAGCTGACACAAAGAGCAAATAGGGAACCTGATTATACACTGAGTGCTGTCAAATGCGCCAAGTAACCTGACAAAATAGAGAGAAACATTTCTTCTTTGCTCTTCTTTCTGCTGCTGTGATCGCAGGTGCTGTTTGCAAAGTATAGGGTGACGATCCCAATGCAAGGCCTTCCAGTCAGTGGCATCCCCCCACGTAAAGGAAAACAAACGTATGAGCCAATTTAGGAAATAAATGCCTTGTGAAGTAGTTTTCCTCCAAATGGGCTGGACCTGAGCTCCGTGTCAGCCTGCCACAGCTTAGCACATCCAGGAGTGCCCCTCGGCTGGCACCTGCCTGAAACACACCGTGTCCCAGCGCTAAACTGAGATGACTGTGAGTGCGACCCGTTCGCCGGTACGGCAGACAGGAGCCGGGCGATGCTCTGGCTGTAAGCACGGACCCCCCACGCTAACACACACAGGCAGGGGCCAGCACCCACCCGGGGACCACCCCCAGGGCAGGCGGGGAGCACGGCACATCGGTGGGGCCGGCAGCGTGAGCGCCGGTGTGTGGGGAAGACGGGGGAACCCCCGCATGCAGGACACGAGGGTGCCCACCCGCACGGCGGCGTCCCAGCGCGCTGGGCACAGGGACGGGGAGCGACGGGAGGGCGAGGGGCACACGAGCGAGGGGGCTGCCCTGGGGACTGGTGATCCCGTTTGCCGGACGCAGAGGCGGGGGCGATGGGAGCGCCCCAACGTG